ATATACAAGCAGGGGCGGACAGGTGCGGACCTAAACTTCCAAAGTTAAGGGGCACAATGTAAATTTCATGAAATGTCAAAAATATAAAATAATATTATTCTAAAATTTATCTATATATTTTTTTATTTTGTATCATTTAGTACTTACATTATTTTTAATATTAACAAATTAATCTTTCTCAAACAAAATTATTATTATTTTTATCTTATGTTTTTAACGTTTATATGCGGGATTCTGTTTATAATGTTTTTCCAAAATGAATATATATGTCATATTAATTAATAATTAATAAGTACAATTTGATTGCTTGTTTAAAATGTTCGACTAAAACTGAAAACACCTAAATAAAATATGCATGAAATTTAAAACAAAGCATTTAGATATCTGAATTAGGATCATGACTTTTTATCAAAATTATGAAAGCTCTAAAGTGGTATCACATCAATTCTTAAAATCCCTCAATATAAATATAGGTTTACAAGAACTAAAATATAAATTATAAAGTTGATAAGTACCAAAACATATAAATAGAAATCATAGTCGGGTTGAAGATGGGATTAATGAGTAATTAATATATAGGGTTTTTCAGGACATGATTGTCAAAGGATTATTTTTTGGATTTCTTTACATGGAGTAGCTGTTTTTTAAAAATAACTCTATTATAGTTTTTGGATTTAGAGAAATAAACTGACTGCTTAAATTAATATTTTTAATAAATAAAATAAGCAAATATATGTATAGAAGAAATGCTATTTTTTTCTAATTTCTACATAATATAAGTATACTTTTTATTTTTATTTGTATAGGGCCCGTGCCCGTGCGGGCCCCTATTTGCATCCGCCACTGGGGTCAGAGCTATAGCCCCTTCAGGTGGGGCATATGCCCCACCTGGAATTTTAGATTTTTAATTTTTATACTATATATTCTCAAAAGAATAAATAGAAATTATGTAGTTTTACAAAAATAATTCATAAATGAAGTTGAAATTAGTTTTTTTTTTTTTCTTGTTCTCTCATACCAATTTTTTTTTATTACAATGTCTTATTTATCTGTTCTATCTTTATATAAATTTATCAAAACGTCGAATGCTACTATGATATACAACTTCCTCACGGGCGTCGCTTTCTTCAAAAAACCTTCCCCAAAAAACTCCACTCGTAGCTTTCTTCAATTCCCGTTGAGTTGCCTTCCTCGGCGACGGCATAGTCATGACTATCGGTCGTCCTTGACCGCTCAGCCCACCCCTGACGAAGAGCGCCTCCGATGTTGCTGCGGAAGGTCTGCGATCGGCTGTCTGGTTCTCGGTTGCTGAAGAGGTTCCGGTCGACGGTGGCATCCTTCGAGGTCGGTGTTTGGCCTACGTTGGAGTCTTCCCCTCAATCGCCGGTGGAGCTCCGATTTGTGATGGTAAACCCCTCCATCTTCACCTTGTCTGCGATTCTAGGACTCTGCCTTTTTTTTGGCGGGGCTCCGCCTCTTTTGGTGGGCCCTGAGCCTCTGGTCGACGGAGCTATGTGGTGGTGTTGGGCGGAGCGTGAGTCATCGAGTGGTTTGGGACTTCGGTTACTGCGCCATTTTCTGTTGCAGTGGTCGGGGTTGAAGGACCGAACAACCTTCACCCTCCCATGTTCGGGTAGTGGTGTTAGGCGGCAGGGGACCTAGTTCTCTTGAGCTCGGCTAGTGGTGTTAGACGGGTTTGGGAGGGCTGGTGTGGGGGTTGTTCGGTTCTCTCTCGGTTGGAGATGGGTCGATTCGGGAATTAGTTCGGGGCTCAGTTTCGGCTACTGTATAGGCGTTGTGCAGTTTCGGTAGTGGTTTCTCGGGCTTGGAATCTTTCTTGTGTCGATCATTCACTGCTGGTTGGGACCGTTCGTATGTCGGGGAAGAGCTATGTTGTTATTTTTGCTATTTTGTTATTCTTGTTCTATGATGTGTGTCTGTATTTGTGTTTGTATTCGTGTTTTAAGTTTGGGCCGTTGGCCTCGGTTAGCCCGAGTGTGACCTTATTATCCTGTTGGGATCGTACACTCGGGCATTACTCAGTTTGGGTTGTTTCTTTCTTTTTCTTTCTTTTTCTCCTCTTGGGAGCTTTAGTGTCGTGTTTTTTTGTGTTTCTAGAGTATTACCCTGTTGGGGTCGGTTCTAGGCGGTCTTTTTGACCTGTTCTCGCATTCTTTTCAGTTGGTGGTTGTTTTATTCAACTATTGGCTGTACTTTTGCAAATTTGTGGGCTTTTATATAATATCTCTATCGTTTTGGAAAAAACAAAATTTTTGTCAACTACGAAATTAACAAAAAAATAAAATTGTAATAAATAATTTGCTCCAACATATTGAGAAATAGTCTCTCTTCTACTCATGTCGAGTACAACTTAATATTGAGAAAAATCATGAGATATTGGCATATATACAACTTAATGTGTTTTCATTGGGTAGATGAATAGTTTAAAAAGGTAGGTTAATATTTCAAGAGCCCAGCATATGTAGTTTGACGATATAATCATTGGACCAGAAAATTTATTATTGATGTATACATAAGAAAATAGACATAGAGAAGGAACAAACAAGTCATTGAAATGTTTACAAAATACATAATTATTTCTAAATAAATATAGCTCGAAGTCCACTCCTTGAAACAAGTGATTTCATAATATTTAGTTGAGAATTTTATTCTTGGAGATGTAAAACATGTTAGTTAGTTAATAACTAATTCACATATATGATAACCACACAAAATAAGAAATAAATAAATAACCATTTACAACTGTTATACATGATAGATAGACATTTGTGGTATATATTGCATGTCACCATACACGTCCATCAAAACCACTAAGTCCTCTCAGTCCCTCCTCCACATCCATTCCTATAAATACACATTCTTAGTTTTAAACAACACAGAGAAGTCATAAACAAGGTTTCATTAAACCCAAAGCAAAATCCAAAGGAAAAGGAATAAAAAATATGACTCGCCTCTACATTTTTGTCTTGCCTTCACTCGTCATGAATCTTATTTTTTGTGCGCGATTATGCAATTCAGGAAGAGTATTTTATGACCATATGAAACCTCTAAAATCAACTGAATTTGTCTCACCAAGTAATCTTTTTGCAAAAGGTTCTATCCCTGTCCCTGACAATTCTAGGTGCACCTTGGATAGCGGCCTTTCTGATTGTGAGAACAAAAATCCTCAATTTTCTCATTCTAATATCCTGAATGCGCAAGATCTTGATCATTATCACATCGAGTTATCGAAAAATGCAGCACGAAACCCGCCTATTGATCCTTTGGAGAGGGGTCCTGTCCCTCCATCTGACTATTCAGGCTGCACATACATTCCCGGTGGTGGGGGCCCAGACTGTAATTATGCGCCTCCATGACATTACATCTTGGACACATATGGTCTTCAACTTGGTCATTAAACGAACTTGTTGAGTAATGGTTTGTTATTTATGTAACAGAATAAAAATGAATAATTATTTATTATTATTTATGTTTATTTTGTTAAAATAGATTGTATGGTAGTAAAATAGTACACGCAGCACGGACATAAATGCTATCTAATCCTCTACATTTTTTACTAGCATGAGATATCTCAATTCAAATTTCAGTTATATGACGTTTTTTTTATCATATCTACAGAAGTTAAAAAAAAAATTATATCTTATCTCTCATGTTTATGTGAATTAATCAAACTGTGATTACAACTAAAACAAACATCCAAAATATTTTAAAGGATAGAGAATGAAACCTAAGAGATTATGAAAAATACCAACTAGCTTTTTTAACAATAAAAACCACGTATTTTAGAATTTGAAGATTAATCAAGGGAACTGGCAAGGAAAAAATATTTTGGAACATAATAGAAAACTATTAAACATGAGGGTAATGTGTGTGTGTGTGTATATATATATAAGGGATCATATGAGAAAGGGAGATAGTGAAAGAAATAAGAATGATTGTAGACCTTTAGATCCAACATCTCAATGGTCATGATGAAGTCAAAGTTAGTAATTTAAGTCAAACTCATTAAGGATAATTTGGACATTTAACCCTCATTAAGGGTAATTTAGTCCTTTCAAATAATTATATATCACAAACCAAACCCATTCACACCTCATCCTTCTCATCAACACATTAACCACGTTCACACACACCTACTTTCTCTTTTTCACACATATACACACATCCACACTCTCTCTCACACAGATACACACATTCACCATGTCTGTCACAGTCGCACACACACACACATACACAGTGCACCATCTGGCCAAATCAGCCACACACAGCCCCCGGCGCCACCACATTCCACATAGATGGGTCACCCCAGAACACCGCCGCCGCCGTCCATCATGGCCACCGGATAATTCCGCCATCTGCAACTGCCCAATCTACAAAACAGCATCCACTCGCAATTCCGGCCAAAACTGCCACCAGCCCGTCGGGCCGCCATCCGCCACATAGATCACCGTACTCGGTAACCCCGCAACTGCCGTCCATCGCGTCCACCGGTGACATCCGCTGTTAACCACCACCCCAAGCTTCACGCCGGCCTCTGCTCGAGCTTATTTAGCAACAATACACACCTGGGTCGCCTTCGATCCGGATAAGATCAAAGGTTTTTTGACTAGGGAGAGGACATGTTTTGTGGGTAAGAAGCCCACAAAAATGCAGGAGGCTCTCATCCTCAAGCAAGGCTTTCGACGCAACGGGCTTGCTGTTCCATACCGCAATCCGCTGGTCGAAGAGCGCGTTGGTCGAAGGTATCGAGTATTCACGCGGAAGCTCCTTGAGCCAAGGAGATGGCGCCCAAGGAAAAGCGAGTTTGGGCTCGACAAAGGCGAATTTGTCTTTCCACTTGGGGACGTTGGAGGGAGTGTCTGAAATGAAATGGACATCGTTGCGGCTCTTGAGGTAGATTCCCTGAGCATGTTTGGAGGGTGTATAGCAGTAATAGAAGAAATCTAGGTCGAGCCGGCCTAGACGGATGTGGCAGAGGATGATGAAGACGGTGATAAAACGGATGGGCGTTAGGCGGAAGTTGGTTCAAGGGCAGGTCGAACCACTTACAAAGATCGACCAAATCGCGGCTTAAGGGAAAACGGACGCCGAGTTTAAATTGGATCTCAAAGAAAGTGTAACAGTTTTTGGGAGGGTTGTCATAGGTATCTCGGGGGCCGGGAGATACGAAAGCCCAACTGGCAGGATAGCCAACCTCTTCGGAATCTAGCCAACCAGCTATGAGGGAGCGAGAGGAGGAAGAAGTCTTCTTAGAAGAAGTAGACACCCTAGGCCAATTTACCCTTCTTAGGGGCAGCCTTAGGAGAGGTAGTGTTGGGGATAGCTGAAGAGGCGAAAGGTATAGCAGCAGTCGAAGGTCTCGAAGTGCCCTTCTTAAGGTTAGGGGAAGGGGTAACCCGAGCAAAAACGGAAGATCGAGAGAGGGGAACATTATCTTCGTCCTCCTCAGCAGCGGCTTCGGCAGCATGAGAGCCTCTTCAGCGGCGTCAGAAGCCCCATACGCCAGTCGACGACGATTAAGAGGGATGTGATCAAGAGTATCCCCATCTGATTCGTCGATCAAATGATTAGGTTGGCCAGGAGGAGAGGAGGTTGCACAGTTGGAAGGGGGTAAAACGCTGATAGGGGTGGGATTGTAGATTTCCTCGACAGAGCGGGAAGGCGAGTGAGGGATAGACCGGTAGGTGGGGAATGATGATGCGGCGATCTCATCCTCACCAGAATGGTGGCTTTGCGCGTTAGAATCGACGGAATCTGAAAAGTAAAAGGAAAAATAGAGAGGGAAGAAGGAAAGTTAGGGTTTTGAAAGGAGAGGAAAGGGGGGTCTTTCCACAGATGGAACGAGAAGGTCTCGGGGAAAGAAAAAAACAACAAAAAACCAAAAACCAAAAACCAACAAAATAAACACACGCGAACACAAAATTAAAGCATAGAAGACTTACTCATAGTTGCAGCAGAGGATGGTTGTCGGAAATTGCTGGGAGAAAAGATGCCGAAAGTAGGAGCGAGCGATTTGCAGAGAAAGGAATCAAAGCACAAGGAAGTTGGAGATTTGCAAAGGTGAGGAAAAGTCGGAAAATTGGGTAAGTGCCGTATTTATAGGAGTACAGATGAATAAGATGACAAATTAAGGGAGATGACCGTTAGATAAAAGAAGATCCAACGGTGGGAAAAATTAAAGGGGCACAGATAGCGAAGCGGCACAAATCGCGATGAGGCGCGATGATTAAAGGAACTGAACGGAAAGGACATATGGCAGGCGGAAATTATGCTAGTAATAAAAGGGAATGAAAGACAATTTAGAGCGCATCATAAAATCGATTACGTGGTCGAAGAATGGTGGTGGCCTCGACAGAAGAGATAAGGAGAGGAGATCAGATGTAAGCAGGAGATCGAAAGGGTGGTAGAACGAAGAAGACAGCCTGAATTCACTCTTAGATCAAGTCATTTAGACTCGACCAGAGTGGGGGGGACTAGATGATATGGGATATTATATAGCTAAGGAATAGACCGGTTTGCATCATCGATCGAGCAACCTCGAAGTGGAGAAAGCCGGATTGGTAGAAGGATGATCGACCAAAAGGAAGGAGATCGAGCAGAATAGCAGAACTGGTCGAGGATCGACCAAAAGGGAGGAGATCGAGCAGAATAGCAGAACTGGTCGAGGGTCGACCAAAAGGGAGGAGATCGAGCACTCAACAGGTGAAGAGTAGTCTAGAGCGTGGCTTGAACGCGTGAAGGCGCGTGGGTGGCGTTAGAAGATCCCAACGGCCTGCGCAGAAGAATAATCTCCCTCAGCTCAGAGGGACACGTGGTGAGAATATATTGGTGCAGAGTGATAGTGGCGAAAGCCACCCCTGACATCTCTGACACACGCACACTATGTGTGTACGGACGGGCAGTACGGGCAGGACAGCTCACCAAAAGCCGGGCAGTTCCTAGGGCAGGTATCTCACTCCTATATATATGGGAGTGGGTCTTTTCTTGTAGCCTACGATTTATCCGTTCTTTACTTTGGAAAACTGAGAAAACACATACTGACTTAAGCATCGGAGGCTCTTCACCGGAAAACCCCTCCGGTGTGAGAGTTCTGTGCAGGTGCGCGGCGTTCTACCGGCGAGGAAGAGGAAGGCAAACCGATTTCAAGCCGGTCGGAGTGTTTTGCGTTACCAGGCCGCTGTAAAATTTCTTTTAAAAAAAATACCTGGTTATTCTTTATGCTTTTTTCGCGTCCGGCCATTTTTTCGGAATTTTTTCGAACGATTTGTTCAATTTTTTTTTT